CCCTCCTCTGCTGCCACCCTGCTCTGCTGGCACCCTACTCTGCTGGCACCCTACTCTGCTGTCACCCCACTCTGCTGCCACCCTACTCTGCTGGCACCCTACTCTGCTGGCACCCCACTCTGCTGGCACCCTACTCTGCTGGCACCCTACTCTTCTGGCACCCTACTCTGCTGGCACCCTACTCTGCTGACCCCTATTCTGTAATAGTTTCATCGTGTCTGTTGAAACTGAGTGCTTTTCACAACGTTGCTGACTGATGAATTAAAAAAATTAAAATATTTTTGTTTTTAAATAAAAAATTCAATGAACATAGACATGGGCGCCCGCAGAAAACTTTTTAGGGGGGGAGGGGGGATCGATTAAATTTCTAGGGGGGGGGGAAATGTTTAGTAATGTTTTAATGTAGTTTTAATTTACTGTAGCGTATATGTATAGTAAACGAACGGACAGGGCATCAGCTTAGCTACTTTCTCTTTTTTTTCTCTTTACTTTAATAATTTTTTGTCTATTTTTGTCTAAAAATTTTTTATCCAATCAATCCAGGGGGGGGGGCAAGTGCCCCTCTTGCCTCCCCCCTTCTGCGGGCGCCCATGAACAAAGATATAATTAGATGAATACAGAAATTATTAAATTAAAACAAAAATTAATAAATTGATGCAGATATTATTAAATTGATACAGAAATTATTAAATCAATACAAAAATTAATAAATTAATACGCACATTATTTTATTTAATGCAGAAATTAATAAATTAATACGGAAATTATTAAATTAATACAAAATTACTTAATTAATAAAGAAATTAATAAATTAATGCATGAATTTGATACTTGAGATAAAGTTGTTGTTTTTTTAATTGACTTTTATTTTGATTTGTTAGATATAAATAAAAACAATGTCTCCACTTTTAATGGCGCTTGCAGAGAGAATGACTTCTGCTGAAATGGTTTGCATCCCATCCCCGACATTATTAAAAAAAAATTCTGATTTAGACCGGTCATTAAATAATCACATGCCATTCCTTCATGATTTATATTTGTTGACACGTTTGCTTGCTTCTCTCTTCTATTTTCAGAATGCATTGGTCCGCTTCTTTCTCAACAAAAATATGTTTTTATATAACCTGTGAGTGTCGTGACATGGCCAAATGTTATCGGATTACGACTTAAAAATTGATGTTTATGACTGCGTTTATGGCAGTTGACTATTGCACTATATGGGCCATTCATCTGGTTCCGTTAGGTTGCAGGTATCCAGTCCCCGAGATCCAGCGTGTGTGATAAAACTATATAATCTTGGTGGAGGAGCCACTTTCTGGACAGCTGCTTAAACAGGAGAGCAGTCCTACTTTTAACATTGGCGAGGCCGAATCTGTTCGCCTATTTCCGGCCGTGTCTGCGCCCTTGCAACCCGTGCTGTGTTTGATCATTTCTGTTTGAGACGGATCTTTCTCGGTAAAAGGTCAGTCATTGGTCGGACTTTTCAGTAACAGGTCAGTCTTTGGTCGGACCTTTCAGTAACAGGTCAGTCTTTGGTCGGACCTTTCAGTAACAGGTCAGTCTTTGGTCGGACCTTTCAGTAACAGGTCAGTCTTTGGTCGGACCTTTCAGTAACAGGTCAGTCTTTGGTCGGACCTTTCAGTAACAGGTCAGTCTTTGGTCGGACCTTTCAGTAACAGGTCAGTCTTTGGTCGGACCTTTCAGTAACAGGTCTTTGGTATTTGTTGGAATTGATTAATTCAAAACAGGCAACGTTTTCGGAAACTCGAAAAAAATGTGTTTAGGCCTACTTTAAAAACATCTGTCTTTTGACCGTTTAGTTCTATTCTTCTGCAGCCATCGATATTGAGCAAATTATATTCACAAGGGCACCTTGGGATAGGCGCTTCATTCAGGTGTAGAAAGTTGCACCATGATAACGATGTTGAAGAAAAATGAATTTACACTGCTTGATGGGGCAAAAGATGACCCCGGTCAAGCCCTCCTCCGTGCCGCAAAGACTGGAGATGTTGCCCAAGCTAAATACCTGGCCAAAAAGTGTCCCAATCTCAACATTAAAGATGACACCGGAAACACGCCCTTAATGCTGCTGATAGGTAACTGTAAGGTAGAAGATACGGACGACAGGGCGGCAGCTCTCAGCGCGTGCTCATACCTAATACTTCATGGTGCAGACGTCAACGCTAAAAATAGCGCGGGCCTGACGCCACTGATGTTGGTCGTCTCGAGGCACTTCCGCCACAACATGACTGACCTCCTGGAGCTCCTTGTCGATCACGGAGCGAATCCTGATCTCGTGGACACCGGGGGTGACAAGGCCTTGACCCACGCGTTAAGGTCAAGGACGGCCATACACTTTATTCAAACAAACGTCAACTGGTTGCTGTTGAACGGCGCTGATCCTTTCATTGGCGTCCACAATTATAAACTGGTCTGTAGTTTCCTGAGTCAGATCTTGGATTTTGAGACTCAAGGTCGGGTAACGTTGAATCATATTAGTCGATTGATTAAAGCTGGCAAGGTTGAGCTGCTCCGATTCTTGGTGTGCAACTGCGCGTTGGATATGAGGTGCGCAACATTCGATGCATTGAGCGGCTATTCTCCCGAAGGAGAAACACTTAAAGGGCTCTCCCCATTGATGTTGGCTTTACTGCACGACAGGGCTGACATCGCCAAATATTTTATCGTAAACGGCTTCCTCACCGACCTTGACCTCAAACGTGAACCCTTGAGGTTCCGAAATAGCCTATCGGAAGGTCCAAAGGACTTGCTGAGAAAACTTCACTCCCAACCGTGGCCCCTGTCCAAACTCTCCCTCTGGACCGTCTCAGCACTGCTCGGACCTTTACCCCAGAGAGCGGACATGGTCGGCAGGACGAAGCTTTCGGACACTGTAAAACAGCTGCTGGTGTTTCAAGGGCCGATGTCCAGAGTCTGTTCTCACCTGTGGGAGAAGCTACCTGTAAAAACCACCTGTGATTACACAACGGTGCCCTGTTTACGTCCACTTGTTTTGAACTGGCCGCACGGTCGAGGCATTGAAAGGAAATGTGCATGCTGTCTAGATAAGGTGTGCAAGGATTTGACAAGTTCTTCTCCAACATTAGATTCAGAAACTAAGTGCAAGGATTTGACAAGTTCTTCTCCAACTTTAGATTCAGAAACTAAGTGCAAGGATTTGACAAGTTCTTCTCCAACTTTAGATTCAGAAACTAAATGCAAGGATTTGACAAGTTCTTCTCCAACTTTAGATTCAGAAACTAAGTGCAAGGATTTGACAAGTTCTGCTCCAACTTTAGATTCAGAAACTAAGTGCAATGATTTGACAAGTTCTTCTCCAACTTTAGATTCAGAATCTAAGTGCAAGGATTTGTCAAGTTCTTCTTCAGATTTGTATTTACAAACAAAAGATGCGGTAGGTGAAAAAAGTTTTTTTGAGCTGGCTTCTGAATCAACGGCATGAATACTTGGCATTTCCGGGTGTCCGGGTGTCCGGGTCAGCAAACAGCAAGGATGGCATCGCTAAAAATGGCTGAAAACAGTTACAGTAACATATTTGTGCTATGTGATAGTGAGAGTATAACATATGTATGTTGCATACCTTGGATAATGATATAAGTATAACCGAGGTATGTCACCTACCTGGGAAAGTGAGAGTATTCCAGAAGTATGGTAACCACCTGGGGTAGTCATAGTATAACAAAAGTATCTTACATACTCAGATAATGACATATGCTCTATTCCAGCGGTTCTCAACCTGTGGGTCGCGATACCCTTTGGGGGTCGCACGACCCTTTCCCATGGGTCACCTAAGACCATCTGAAAACACAAATGCTCTACAGTTATGAAGTAGCAACGAAAATAATTTTGTGGCTGGGGGTCACCATAGCATGAGGATCAGTATTAAGGGGTCGCGGCATTAAAAAGGTTGAGAACCACTGCTCTATTCAAACCGGGGCGATTGATATTAAGCCTGTTACGATTGGCCTGTTTAAGAGATTGTGATAAGCGGTTTAAGAGTTAGGGTTCGGCGGTTTAAAAGTTAGAGTTGGGTGGTTCAAAATTTAGGGTTATCCTGTTCAAGATTAAGGGTTGTCCTATTCAAGACTTAGGGTTGTACTGTTCAAGAGTTAGGGTTGGCCTGTTTAACGGTTTGAGTGGGGCGGTTCAAGATTTAGGGTTAGGATGTTTAAGAGTTAGGGTTATGATGTTTAAGAGTTAGGGTTATGATGTTTAAGAGTTAGGGTTATGATGTTTAAGAGTTAGGGTTATGATGTTTAAGAGTTAGGGTTATGATGTTTAAGAGTTAGGGTTATGATGTTTAAGAGTTAGGGTTATGATGTTTAAGAGTTAGGGTTATGATGTTTAAGAGTTAGGGTTATGATGTTTAAGAGTTAGGGTTATGATGTTTAAGAGTTAGGGTTAGCCTGTTTAGGGGTTAGTGTTAACATATGCAAGAGTTACGGTTGTGTCGTTCAAGAGTTAAAGTTACTTTTATGATGGTATTTAAATGATCAGGATTGTATAATATTATCTATGTAAATAGTGTCCATCCATCAATATTCATCCTTTGTTGGTCCATCCATCAATATTCATCCTTTGTTGGTCCATCCATCAATATTCATCCTTTGTTGGTCCATCCATCAATATTCATCCTTTGTTGGTCCATCCATCAATATTCATCCTTTGTTGGTCCATCCATCAATATTCATCCTTTGTTGGTCCATCCATCAATATTCATCCTTTGTTGGTCCATCCATCAATATTCATCCTTTGTTGGTCCATCCATCAATATTCATCCTTTGTTGGTCCATCCATCAATATTCATCCTTTGTTGGTCCATCCATCAATATTCATCCTTTGTTGGTCCATCCATCAATATTCATCCTTTGTTGGTCCATCCATCAATATTCATCCTTTGTTGGTCCATCCATCAATATTCATCCTTTGTTGGTCCATCCATCAATATTCATCCTTTGTTGGTCCATCCATCAATATTCATCCTTTGTTGGTCCATCCATCAATATTCATCCTTTGTTGGTCCATCCATCAATATTCATCCTTTGTTGGTCCATCCATCAATATTCATCCTTTGTTGGTCCATCCATCAATATTCATCCTTTGTTGGTCCATCCATCAATATTCATCCTTTGTTGGTCCATCCATCAATATTCATCCTTTGTTGGTCCATCCATCAATATTCATCCTTTGTTGGTCCATCCATCAATATTCATCCTTTGTTGGTCCATCCATCAATATTCATCCTTTGTTGGTCCATCCATCAATATTCATCCTTTGTTGGTCCATCCATCAATATTCATCCTTTGTTGGTCCATCCATTAATATTCATCCTTTGTTGGTCCATCCATCAATATTCATCCTTTGTTGGTCCATCCATCAATATTCATCCTTTGTTGGTCCATCCATCAATATTCATCCTTTGTTGGTCCATCAATTAATATTCATCCTTTGTTGGTCCATCCATCAATATTCATCCTTTGTTGGTCCATCCATCAATATTCATTCTTTGTTGGTCCATCCATCAATATTCATCCTTTGTTGGTCCATCCATCAATATTCATCCTTTGTTGGTCCATCCATCAATATTCATCCTTTGTTGGTCCATCCATCAATATTCATCCTTTGTTGGTCCATCCATCTATATTCATCCTTTGTTGGTCCATATATTTTTCGGATATTTTTTACTCCCATGTGCAGGCTTTCTGTTGTTTTGTTAGGGCCCATGCAAGTTTCATTTGCTTATGTTACAACTGGTCTGATTACAGTTTTATAAATAGTTTTCTTTGTTTTTCTTGTCATGTTTTTACTTTTGTGTATCTTGTGATGACTGCAGTACTTTTGTGTATCTTGTGATGACTGCAGTACTTTTGTGTATCTTGTGATGAATGCAGTACTTTTGTGTATCTTGTGATGACTGCAGTACTTTTGTGTATCTTGTGATGACTGCAGTACTTTTGTGTATCTTGTGATGACTGCAGTACTTTTGTGTATCGTGTGATGACTGCAAAACTTTTGTGTATCGTGTGATGACTGCAGTACTTTTGTGTATCTTGTGATGACTGCAGTACTTTTGTGTATCGTGTGATGACTGTAGTACTTTTGTGTTTCTTTTGATGACTCCAGTACTTTTGTGTATCGTGTGATGACTGCAGTACTTTTGTGTATCTTGTGATGACTGCAGTACTTTTGTGTATCTTGTGATGACTGCAGTACTTTTGTGTATCTTGTGATGACTGCAGTACTTTTGTGTATCTTGTGATGACTGCAGTACTTTTGTGTATCGTGTGATGACTGCAGTACTTTTGTGTATCGTGTGATGACTGCAGTACTTTTGTGTATCGTGTGATGACTGCAGTATGTACTGTTGCCGGTCGATACTCTTTCTTTTATTTCTGTTACAAATTTATTTATTTCATTTCATAAAGATCCTAAGTATTTGCATTGATTTACTTCATCAAAAGTCTGGTTTCTAATTTAGAGGGCTTCACCTGTCTGTTCTTCTCTTACCATAGTCATGTATTTTCTTTTGTTGGTTGTTAACTTACAGCCCGGCTTGTAGTGATGCATCTTCTGATTCAGGCCAGCACAACTTAAAATGTAGGCCGGGCCTTAAGACTTTATGAAAAACTTTTTCGGGCCGAAAGAAAATAGAACAGAGGGGAAAGCTTTTAAGAAAATAAGAATAAAAAAGAATATTTCGTTACCTCGCGGGGCGCAAAGTGGGTGCTGGCAGGCCGTATGTTGTGCAGGCGGGCCGTATGTTGTGCAGGCGGGCCGTATATTGTCCAGGCCTGTTCTAATCCAATGAAGGCTTTTGATATGTAGTTCCAACTTTTCCCTAGCAGTGCTCCGTCAGGAGAAAATGTGTGGACGATGTTAAACATGCAAATAAACTTAATTTAGGCTTAACAACTTTTACAACCTGTTATTTATATTGATCCATAGTGCAGCGGTTCCCAAACTGTTAAGTTTGGCGGACTGATGGGCACGTTTCGATATTGCACAAGGGACTGGTTACAGATTTATTAATTATGTTTTATTTTTATTTGACCATAAATATTCCTGTGGTGCGGATCAGAAACTTAAGCCTAGCAGACCGACGCCGGTCCGCCGACTACCGTTTGAGGACCGCTGATCTAGGAAGGGTGTTCCATGCCAAAGCTTTCAAAGTCATTTACACATTGTACATTTGACTGATTGCATTTTAAATGTGTCACCTCTTTCCTGTGCTCCGACATTTTAAATAGCTTTTTAGCTTTTTTCTTTTCCAACATATTGTAACGTACGTTTCCTGGGGTATGTGTATGCAGGACCGGCCCTAACAATTGCGGGACCCTATACCAAACGGATTGCGCGGGGCCCAGTCTGGGTAGGGATAAGGATAATAAGTGAAAATTAAGATTTTGTATTAGAAAGTGGGGCCTATGAAAATGCGGGGCCCACTGCGGCCGCATAGGTTGCAGTGGCCTAAGGCCGGCCCTGTGTGTATGTGTGAAATGTGTTAAATCGGCGGTTCTCAACCTGTGGGTCGCGACACCTTTTAGGGGTCGCGCGACACCTTTTAGGGGTCGCACGACCCTTTCACAGGGGCCGCCTACGACCATCTTAAAACACATCTACCCTACAGTCATGAAGTACCAACGAAAATAATTTGGTGGTTGGGAGTCGCCACAACATGAGGAGCTGTATTAAAGGGTCGCTGAATTAGAAAGTTTGAGAACTACTGTGTTAAATAAATTAGAATATATTGTTTGGCGTGCTATACCAAGGATTTAAAACAATATGGTGTTTGGTCGCACCTTGACCAAAATAATTTGGGTCTGCCCGAATTTCTTGGCGACTTCGGGACATCTCGCCCCAAAAAGCAGGAAATGCCCTCTCCCCTTTTACACCCTCCCTAAACAATAACCCCTGCACGGAGCACGGCCCATGTCACTTGATGGGTCGTCTGTGCACCGTCTGTTATTTACACAATCAGTTCTATTGTTCACGTATTGACATGCATTGTAATACAGTGGTTCTGAACCTTCCTAATACCGCGACCCTTTAATACAGTTCCTCATGTTGTGGTGACCCCCAACCATAAAATTATTTTCGTTGCTACTT